GGGTATTGTATGTATCGGGTACTAAAATATAATGAACATTGACATAGTAATGTATCTCATACAATGACATTTATACCAGATACGTTGCATTCAAACAAAGTTGTAATGTATCTAATAATTGAAATATAAACATACAATTAACAGTTTTGTATCATTGGAGAAACTATCAGGAGGAACTCCAACAAACATCTCAGCCACCACACACCCAAGCAACCTGTTCGCCGCCGATGACCATCTCCGGCGACATGTACAATTGGGTATCCCTCAATTCATATAGCAAATCATCATCTTTCTTGATTCCAATTCTCCTTGCCAATACCTTTACCATCTTCACCAAGAAGAATATTTAAAGCTTATTACCGCAATGAAAATAAAAAAGATGATGAAGAAATTCATCTTCCTTTTTTTTTAGAATTTAAATTGATGAAGTAAAGCATGATTTTGGGGAAGTTAAGCAATGTGTATGTAGAGTTTGAGGGATGTATCTGTATCCGATAATAGGAGAGTGAAATATGAAAATATTGATTTTTGTAATTTTTTTAAATAGTAGAAATTTTCAGAGATTATAATAAAATAATTAGAAAGTATATTTAGATAATTTTTTTCATATTTTAAACCACCTCAACTACTAAATCAACATCTAATCTTATGTGTAACAAATTCAAAACCTATATATATATTAAAAAATTATTCACATGTTCAAATAAACTCCCTCAATACCCTCTAAATTCACCTAACAAGGACCTAACTATTAAGTATAGGTTTATTGTGTTGTTACAAGGTCCCATACCCAAATATATTACACCAACCGTTATCATAAAAATGGAACAAACATTCAAACTTACTTCATGGATCAATTTGGAATTGATGTCCTTTCAGAAATATGAAAAAATCTATGAAAATGAATATATTAATATTTCTTTACCCGATATAAAATGATATATGAGAAATAAATGCTTGGTCAATAAAAGAAAAACGCAAATATAAGAAATTAGGTTTCTTTCTTAAGAATCTTTCAAATAAAAAAGCTGACAAAATCTAATAAAACTAGATGAGTGTCGCCCGTGCTAAGCACAAGCCCTACATTTTAGGCCAAGTAATACTAATATTTTGCACCAGCAATGGTGTTGTCATTCGGTCAGGATTTGACTTTTAGTTCCTTGTTTGTTTGCTATAATAAATGTCTAAAATCATAGAGACAACATAAAAACATAGGCATTCTTTTTAACATAAGACAACAATCTTTAAAATTACACGTGCCCAACTCATCCCATAAAATTTATTGCAACCATAGCTCCATGAGCATTCTTCATAGGTAAGAACCAGTAACCCCATCACCACCATTTGTATACATCTAAGTGTGAATTAACTTTGAAATTCACACAAAATAGAAGGAGCACAAATAATGTGTTTGTCTACATTTTGCCCCTAGAAAAATGAATACATTTATCACTTGTGTCTATTGTCCATCATCCAAACCTGAAACAACAAACCTATTAGCATGAATAACTTCATCAGTAGTACTTCAAAAGTGTTATTCCAAAAACAAATAAAAGACAAATTTTTAAAAAAGAAAACTTTAAATTGCCAAACTACCCCTGGCTACAAGCAGGCATGTTGAAACTTGAGAAGTTATTCAAAATTTTATATGATTTTTAAAAATATTTTAAGTTATTAATTACTGTGATTTATAATTTTTTAAGCGATTTTGAAGTAATATATATTATTTCGTTCTCCCAATTTATGCGGCATAGATATAATTTCAAAGATTAATCATTTTTATGTCTTTTAAATTGTTAATTATTGTAATTTGTAGTACCTTTTACGTAATTTTTAAATATTTTTTTTTTACTTCTCATGTCCCAATTTATGTGGTATTGATAGAATTTCGAAAGTTAGCCAATTTTGTGCACGTCTTTTAAATTTCGAAGTTATTAATTATTGTGATTTATATACTTTTTACGTCATTGTCAAATAATATATGTCATTTTCTCTAACCCATTTTATGTGTCACACATAGAATTTTGGAATTCAAATGATTTTTTTATATTAATTTTAAATATTTTAACTTATTAATTATTGTGATTTAAAGTATTATTACTGTAATTTTCAAATATATAACAGGCTAAAAAAGAAATGTAAGACAAAATTAAAAAGAAAAAAATGTAGAATTAATGGTCAATTAATGTGATGCAAATGAAATTTGAAGTGGCAGCCAAGTGTTGTATATATTATTTTTTTAAAATTAAGTTGTTAATTATTGTGACTTATAGTACTATTGTGCTTTTAACATCATTTTTATAAATAACATATGTTTCTTCTTTTATCTTAATTTATGTGGCACAATAGAATTTAGAGAGTTAATCATTTTTTATATGATTTTTCAATATTTGAATTCAATAATTACAATAATTATAGTACTTTTTATATAAACTTTAAATAATAAATGTTATTTCTTCTATCCTAATTTATGTGACAATAATAAAATTTTGAGTGTCGATAATTTTTTAATACTATTTTTAAATATTAGTAATGAACAAGCAGTAGATTTTTCAAGAGTCAATATTTTGTTATACGGGGCCCAATATATGTTAATTTTTGTGTCTTAATTTATGTTATATCATGTAACTTGAGAAGTTATCAAAATTTTTATATGATTTTAAAAATATTTTAAGTTGTTAATTATTGTAATTTATACTTATTTTATTACTCTCTTTGTTTCAATTTATGTGGCATATATAGGATTTAAAAAATAAACCTTTTTATGTTTTTTAAACATATTAAATTGTAAATTTTTGTAATTTATAGTATCTTCTTAACATAATTTTCAAATAATATATGTTACTTCTCATGTTTCAATTTATGTGACATTGATAGATTTTTTGGAGTCAAGTGATTTTTTTATGTCTTTTTTAAAAATTGTTAATTATTATGATTTATAATATTTTTTACGTCAATTTCGAATAATATATGTTTCTCATCTAACTCATTTTTTTTGTAGCACCAATAGAGTGTCAAGAGTCAATCGAATTTTATTTTACATAGCTTTTAAATATTTATTTGTTAATTATTATTTATACAATTTTTTAAATTTACAATCAACAGAAAGAACAATATTAGTGAAACAAATTTAATACAAAGAAAATACTAAATAGTAAAGAAAAATATTACTATTACCACTTTACTACATATATGTAGTAAAATAATATATATATATATATTTATATATATAAATGATACAATTCAACTTTAAAATATTTATTTTAATCTTAATAAAATTATTTGTAGCTACATAAATATTTATCACTTGTTTTAGATCATAAATTTTAATTTTTTTCTTTCTTAAACTCTGTGTCAAATTAAAATAACTTATATAATATATAAAATAGAGGGGAGGGATAATATTAAGAGTAATATTTTAAGTACAAAACCACTTAAAGGTAAAGGTACCGTGTTAGAAAATGTGAGACCAAAATAAGGAAGAACTTGTCAAATAAAATTTTAATGGACCCCACTTTATTGGATGACTCTATTTAAAAAGTTGCATAAAGAGCGCGTGTAGTAAATATCTAAGTAAGGATCACACTTTGTAAAAAAAAAATTAAAAAAAGAGTAAAAAAGCACATGGCGCGTAGTAATTAGGTACCAGCTGGGATCCATACGTCAGAATAGTAGTACATTTTGAGAAAGGACGAATAAATAAATACATATATATGTGTTGGGTTTTTTGTCCAATAAAGCAATTAAATAATCATTATAGCAGCTGGTACAAGTCAATTACAACGATTATTTTTGATAATACCTAATTTACCCCTTGGTCGGCAAGCAGCAATGTCCTTGCATAATAACATAATTACTAATTTTCCCTTGATCGTCCTGATCGTCTTCACTCTTCTATATAATAGAAAAATAATATAGTATAATCATTCAGTTGCCAACGATTATAATGTTTTGATTATGGCATGACGTACGGCTTCTGTTTATATTTAAAATAAAATTTGTTTTGATTATATTTTAATTTGATTCGATGGTGTTGAAAGTAAGAGACTGGATGATCTGTCCCATATTTTTATCACACGTGGAGATTGAAAAAAGAATCGGAAACCTCATTATATCTAAAAGTTTAAATATTAATATTGGAACAGTATAATAATAACAAAAACAATTCTCTTTACTTATTTTACTACTCCCTTGCTCTGTTTTATTTTACTAATAATATTTTAAATAGTATAATAAATAAATTTTTTTAATTTTTTTTTTAAAAATAAATAATTAAGAGTGTGTCGGTAAATTTCAGTTAACTACTCTCTGCTCGGTTTTATTTTACTAAATTAATTTATTAATAATAATTTAAAAATTTATATATTAATATTGGAATAGTATAATAATAACAAAAATAATTCTCTTTACTTATTTTAGTACGCCATCGCTTTGTTTTATTTTACTAACAATATTTTAAATTTTAATATTAAAATAGTAGAATAAATACTTTTTAAAAAATAAATAATTAAGAGTGTGTTTGACATAAAGAAAAATATTTTATAATTTTCATATGTTTGCTTGATTAAATTGATTGAAAATTTTCTTTTTGAAAAAATAATTTTAAAAAATAAGCTTCCTATTGTAAGTAGAAAAAATAAATGTTAAAGTCCTATTTTAAATTTAGGAAAAATTACTAGAATACACGTCTTATGTTTTCGTTATTTCTAATATTTTCTTCTATTTCTAAAAATCTCTAAAATCCCTTATTTCTCTCTTAATTTTAAATTATTTTTTAATGTATTCGAGCTACGTATTATGTATCCGGTTATTTTATAATGTATCCGAGTTATATATTATGTATCTAATTTATTTTACTTTTTTAGGGATTAATGTAATTATAAGATTGTAATTTTATATTAAAATTATGTGATTTCTAAAATTTAGACGTAGTAAAATCAATAATTTAATGTAATATAAAGACCTAATTCGGAAGCGCTAACGCCATTGATTCGTCCAAACCAAAGCTTTTTTTTTCTCTCTCGGATTCCTTCTTCTTTTTGATTTTTTTTGCTAAGTGTTGGTTCTGCGTTAATTCAACGCTGCTTTTATTGTATTTTGGTTAAGTAAGAGTGGAGTTCCCAGTTGGAAAGTATTTGATTTGGGTTCCATTTGCTTATTAATACTTCGTTTAGTTCTAATCTTTCAGTGGAGTTTCAATTTTTGCCTAAAGTGAGCACTCTTTCTTTTGGTACTAATTGTTGAATTAAGAGATAATTGTATTCTATAATTCCTTGTGTTCTTGTTGAATATGATTGTAGGATATCGTGAGGTTGTTGGAGGCTGGATTCCAATAAGATAATAATTTACGGAGCTCGAAGAAGGAAGAGGTTTGGACAACCGGAGGACTATGGATGGGAAGGAGAATAATGGTTCAAACAAGGTTGTTATTCCTAAATGTTGCTTGAAGGCTAGGGTATATGATCCTGAACTTGAAGCCAATTGTCACTCCACTGTTGTTTCAGGATGGTTCTCTCAACCTCCCTCATCATTTGGTAATTAAACGAAATTAATAATTGCCAGTTGTGTTCAGGGTTTAGATGTTATTGTTGACCTGTTTGTTGTTGTTGCAGATGGAAAAGAGAAGGTACTGTACTTCAACAATCCAATGTGGCCAGGTTAGAATTTGCTTGTTCCTTTATCTGAAACAACCCCCCCCCCCCCCTCTCTCTCTCTAGGAAGGATTTACCCAGGGCTGATACTTGTAATTTGCTCCAAACAGTAGTCAAAAGTTGATGATTAATTTTTAACTTACATTTTTCTGTTAGCAGTGTTAAACTAAATATTTTCAGAAAAGTTGATGAAAACACGAAATCATTATCTTTTTGTTATTGTCTTAATCTCAACAATTTAGAAGATCTTAGTGATTTTGTAGACTCAATCATATGTCAAAAATAGGTTTTTTTTTTGGAGATGATTGGGACAGTTGGAGTTTTTTTTCTTCTTAGTTGTGTAAAACAGAAGAGCTTATGTCAGCTGCAACTACATTAGTTAGTTATACTAGATTTAGGAGATGATACTTGTGTCCTATTGCAAAGGGAATTGTCAAATTTTAGGGTGAGTGGCTCGGATTGTGCGCTTGTTTCCTTGAGCCCTGTATTTCCAGTATGTGTTAAAGTAGCACAAAATGATGCTTCTGGTAGAAGTAGGAGAAAAAATGAGCTTTATGCTGTAACAAATTCCTATAATTTGGTTTGCTAGTTTAAACCCAAGTTAATGCATAAAGTTTGACTTCTATTATTAAGTGTATGACTCCTATTCGATCTTGAGCCCTGTATTTCCAGTATGTGTGTTAAAGTAGCACAAAATGATGCTTCTGGTAGAAGTAGGAGAAAAAATGAGCTTTATGCTGTAACAAATTCCTATAATTTGGTTTGCTAGTTTAAACCCAAGTTAATGCATAAAGTTTGACTTCTATTATTAAGTGTATGACTCCTATTCGATCTTGAAGTACTCAACGATGCCCTTTCTCTTCTACCCTTTTTATTGAATGTTTACTAAGAATGATTTTTTCTTCATTGCGTCTTTTTACAGGAGAAGCACATTCCCTGAAAGTAGAAAAGGTTTTATTCAAGGGAAAGTCAGAATTCCAGGAGGTTTTAGTTTTTGAGGTTCAGCATCTTGTTCTATCGTAGTTTTGTGCTTTAAATTCTAGCTATTAAATTTCTCTCAAGCTCTTTTATCATCTGCCTTAAATGTCTATTCGTACTTGCAGTCTGCATCCTATGGAAAAGTTCTAGTGCTAGATGGCATTGTTCAGTTGACCGAGAAAGATGAATGTGCCTATCAGGAGATGATAGCCCATCTTCCTCTTTGTTCAATCAAATCTCCTAAGAAGGTAACCATGTAAAAATTTGGCTTTAAAGATTTTGCTCCCTTTGTTTCACTCCCAATGATCAACAAAGGTTTTCGGATTTGCTTTCTTGTTTTGGAATCAGAATATACTGGAAGAGAGTGAATCTTATGTGCTTGAGAACTGAATTGATATGTGTTTGTGTGTGTGCATTGCGTGTGTGTGCGCGTGACAAGCTGAGACCTGGATTTTTATATGTAAGTCAATCAAGAAAAGATAAAACTATGTGATGGAACCAACCAAACACTCACCCTTTAAGATTTCATCATCATGGATGGTCCACCTCTTCCCCAACCTTTTGAGGCTTGCATGTGTGGACTGATAAATCATTTCTTTGTTAGAGCATGTTTGTCAAGTGGCAAAAAAATGCTTATTTTTTAGAAGCATTTTTATTAAAATAGCTTTCAGAAGTGTATTTTTTTTTAAAAACAATTTGTGTCCATCTAATTCATTTGAAAAGTGATTTTGATAAGCAACTTGTGTTTGGTTAATCTATTTTAAAAAGTATTTTTGAGAGTCAAATTACGAAAAAAGACAGACATCAATGCACTTTTAATATTAACTTTATTCTATTGAGAGAAATTATTTTAAATATCTATTATAAATTTTTTAATTAATTTTTAATTATTTTACTAAAAAGTACACATTGCAAATTTTCTTCAATATTATATGTAGCTAAATCGAAGAAAATATTAATTATTGATATAATATTAACCTAATGATTTAAATATAATTAAAAATATTAAACCAAATATATTAAATAATTATTCCACAAATTAAATTATAATATAATAATATATAAAATGTATAATAAAATAAAGAATTTATTGTGTAAAATTTAAGAATAAATTTTTTAAATGGAACTTAACCAAATTTATGAGATATGCTAATTAAATAACAAGGGATATATTGGTAAAAATATGTATAAATGGTAGGGGTATTCTTGTTTTGAAAAATGATTTTCTTCTTTTGCCTTTTTTAAGAAGCAAATTTTTTTTTGCTTCTTCCCAACCACATAAAAACTGCTTTTACTTATATCTAAAAGCAGTTTTACTGGTTGACCAAACATTTTAACTTTTAAAAATTGTCTTTTTCTCAAAAAAAGTGTTTTTAGCCTCCCAACCACTAGGCCAAACATGCTCTTAGTAACGGTTGATGTTTGAATTAGCTTGTGCACACTTGGACTACTCTATCAGCTACCTCTTCTTCCTGCCTACATAGGTATCAGGGTAATTTTGTTTGGTAGAATCTCTTAGTGTTTAGTCTCTGTTGGGATTTTTACCTCGGTCGGTACCCACGTTACGAACCAATAGGCCACACCCTTGGTTGTTGTGTGGACTGATACATCATTCTCTTGGTAATTTGATGATTAACACGGTTGTAGCTTTCTAAGTCCTGTTGCTCTAAAGGCTCATATAGATTTTCTGGTAGAATTATACCTTTATCTGCAACTCATTAGTTTTTATGGAATCTGACAAATTAATGTGCTACTGCTTCGGGAGGAATCCTAATCAGCCTTCGGTTCTCTTTGCATTAAGCCCAATGGGTCAAGATAGAAATTGTACCTTAAGAGAATTTCTTTGTTTACAACCCCTTTCTTATGCTCTGTTTGCTGTATGTTACTATCATTTCCACATACAAGGACATCAATATCTGTGGGTGTACCGAAAAATGTGAATCACCTAATGTTAAGATTATAAAGCCCTTTGATAGGTCTATGACATGAAGGAATTTGAATAATCATTTAGTGGAAGTGCATTAGGAACTAGGAGGATTACCTTTGTAAACTTGGTGGACTGCATTAAGCAGTATCTCTTCTAAGATGATTACATGCAATTACTTTGAACTTGAAACTAAGAACTGTCCTAGTTTTGAAGGACATATGCAGAGGAGTCTCAATCATATAAGTATTTGGTCTATTCTTTCTGCAGAACCTGTTTTGTAGTGGATGAGAATTTGATGTGTGTGGTTGTTGGTGGAACTAAAATTTTCTTCTGCCAGTTTCTTTACTTGTTAAGCATCTGTTAAAGTGCCAAATCTTCATTGATTTATGGGTTCTTATCACTCGTCAGCAGTAGTTTACCAGTTTTCAGTTTTATCTGCAGATTTTTATCTTCAAATATGTGTTGTAAATAATCACTAGAATGTTGGCACATCCTGCTTGTTATCTCTGTCTGCGTGTTTTTAGATGGAATCTAATATAGGTGATAGTTGATCAATTTAATTAATTGATCAAAAGACCTAGTTTGAAATGTTGCTGGTCTTTCACAGCTGCTGGGAGAGTGTGGGTTTTCTCATTTGTAACAAGGGAGAGAAAAAGAGTTAACCAACACGAGGTTCTTTATTTTTTTCTTCAATTCTTTTCAGAACATTGATACTTTGATTTTATTCTTTGCCTGGGCATCCAAGACAAAACTAGAAAGATTTGAGTCTATGATAAGCTCATTATGAAGATATGATGAGCCTGTGTGTGTGTGTGTGTGTGTGTGTGTATGTATATATATGTATATTATATTATATGTCTTTATTGGAACTTATTGTTTGAATGCCTCATCTTTTATATTAATCTGTTTTTTACTATTGGCTTGGTTTTCCTTCTCAGTTTTACCATTCATTTGTTCTCTGTCTAATCTATTTTGATCTAAAAATGCAGGTTCTAGTTGTTGGGGGTGGTGATGGTGGAGTTCTAAGGGAAATTTCTCGACACAGCTCTGTGGAGCTGATTGATATTTGTGAGATTGATAAAATGGTTATTGATGTGAGTAACAGATCCAAGATACATGAATTGGTGCTTTTGTTGAGTTTCATTTTAAATATGTTGTATTTTCTTGTGTTGCAGGTCAGTAAAAAGTATTTCCCAGATTTGGCTATTGGCTTTGAGGATCCTCGTGTCAATCTTCATGTTGGTGATGGTATGAACACTACTTTGTGTCGCTTGATCTTATTATCAGAGTCTTCGCATCAATTCAGAAATATATTTTCTACTCTTCGATTTTTAGTTATTAGGAGAATGCTTGGGAGGCTGAGAAAGCCTAGGGTAAAGATAGCACAACTCCCTGAGTTTATCATTTTGGTTATTCTGGACCCAAAGTTTGGCCTCAATATGGTGGGAATGGCTCATGTACAGTTAAAACTAAAAGCAGGACAGAATGCTTTTCTTATTGCTGAAATTTAATTTCCCCGTTTTACTAGTTGAGCTGTATATGATTTTTTTTTTCTTTAGATAGCTGTATATGACTTTCTGAATAATTTTTGACAGCTGTTGAGTTTCTGAAGAACACACCTGAAGGGAAGTATGATGCTATCATAGTTGATTCATCAGATCCTGTAGGTAAGTCAGATGCATCTTTTAATTTTACGAATCCTTGCTTTCTAAAGTTTTAGCAACTTAAAGGTCATTTATGGATTTCCCATACAGTTCTGCCATCCACAGTGAAGCAATCCCCCGTCCAAATAGGGCAGATTTTGTTTGTTGAAGATAGAGCCCATAGTTCACTGATTTTCAAGGATTGAAAAACTGCATGCATTTCTGAGTAGATATCCGTGTCTTTCGTTGGAGAGCACATCACTTCTTTTGTTTGATTTTTCCTGTTTCTGTTGGATGTTCTTGGCCAGTGTATATATTGACTCTATAGTATCTTCTCTTGTTTGGAGTAGGAATAGTTTTGGTTTTTTGGTTTTGTACCTCACACTCCTAAAAGATGGGTTTTGCAGCAACTAGTAATTTTTCAATCCAATGAGCTTTGATTTAATTGTTCTGAAATGTCTTTCATTACAGGTCCTGCGCTAGAGCTTGTGGAAAGACCATTCTTTGCAACGATAGCCAGGGCATTAAGGCCTGGCGGTGTACTTTGCAACATGGCAGAGAGCATGTGGCTTCATACTCATCTTATTCAGGATATGATCTCAATTTGCCGTGAAACATTTAGTTCTGTTCATTATGCATGGGCCAGTGTTCCTACATATCCTAGGTATAATTTAGGAATTAACAGCAAGAACATGTAGCTATTTTATTTGTTTGTTTCCTTAGTTGTGCGGTTGAAGGTTAAAGAGGAATTGTCAAACATGCTTCCACTTAATTGTTATTGAGGATTGTTGCTTTACGTATTATGCAGTGGCGCTATTGGGTTTCTTCTGTGCTCAACTGAGGGACCATCTGTTGATTTTAAGCACCCTGTTAATCCTATTGAGAAATTAGAGGGCGCTCTTCAGCATCAGCGGGAACTTAAGTTTTACAATTCTGAGGTAACTTGTTCTACTAGTAAGCAATTTCATATTTGCTACTCATAACATCACCAATAAACATTCTTTGATTTTGTTTGTGCTGTATTGACTGCGCGTGTGGTATGCATCGATATTTACTTGTCTTCGAGTTTTGTACCATAATTTGGATACAATTTGATATTATGGGTGTTTCAAATGTACCAAGACAAACTATACAAGCTTATCATCTGCCATTTGATAAGAGGGCCTTTTCTTCTACCATTTGAACTTTTTTTTTTTTTTTACCTTACTAGCTGGTATAGGGTAACAATTTTGAGTTTTAAGCTTCCTTGTCTCTGTTCCATTGCATCCACCGTCATACATCAAATACTTGGAATTTGAAGTCCAACAGCTGCACTTCAATTCAACCAAGAAAAGCTGTCATTTTTCTTGTGACAGAGTATCTTGTTCTTTTAACAGATGCATGAAGCTGCTTTCGCATTGCCGTGCTTTTTAAGGAGGGAGGTGAGCGGTCTCGGTGATGGCCCACGCTCTGCAGGAGTCAAGATTTAAGTTGTTGCATTATCTATGAAACTATTACCCATTTCTTTTCCTTGCTGCTCTAGTAAACTGGTTGATATCCTTCCCACTTGTCACACGCGTAGGCAGCAGGAAATGTAGATGCGGCTATTTATCTGTGTGGTTTGTATTGGTATTTGATATTGAAGACATTAACATGTAATATGCAGGTTTCAGTACTGCTATATCTATTGTTAACTTGTTGAACTCTTCTATTAGTTGATATTGAGACTTGAATAAAATATGTTATGACACGCATTGGCATATAGTTTTACTCTTTCTAATAAATGCTTGGAAACTTTAGTGGATATCCCTATGTCGAAATATGTTTCTACGATAAACTGAAAATTTATGTTGCTGATTGATTGAATGCGGCGATGATTTTCATATTTCATTATTGGTGATAACAGGAGTCTAGAAGTTGAAATAATACAAAGACGAAACAAAATTGAAACAAAAGCGTGTTGAAAAAATTATGAATCGTCCGTCAATCGGGTGAGTAAAAAAAGTGGTGGTGGAGGTTGAAAACTTCAAAGCCACCGTCTCACAAAAGACTTCCATTGCAGCAACTAACCTGTGGAGACTTTCCCCCCCAACTAGTCTGTTAAAAATCTCATTCAAATGTGAATGACCAAGGCCAATAATAGTCTAAATAAACCATAAGCTTTACAAAGAAAAGGGGAGAATTACGCGAACAAGCAAGGAAGGCAAGTAATGGTATTGCTGCAGACAATCAAAAGGAAAGATCCCTTCACATTGCTAACCTGGTGGACATCCATAAAATTGTTTGCATATCATTTGTATGGGAAGCTTAACTGGATGAACATACAGATCTATTCAAATCGACGACAATTACACTGATGTTATCCCTACTACCCCGAGCAATTGCCAACTCTGCAAGGAAGGAAGCTGCTCGTGCTGCGAGACTTTCTTTGACACCTTCACTTGACTGATCATCTCTCTTATGGGATTTGGTTTGTTGGTCACACCTCCTGAACGTTTGACCATTCAAGCATCTTCTTGTAACGTCACACGCAACATCATTTGGAATGACATCCCATAGACCATCACTTGCAAGTAATAAGAATTCATCTTCATCACTTCTTTGGCTAACTAAGACTTCAGGATCTGGAATGACATATGGTTTGAGGTACATATCACCTGCATCGATCAATAACTGTATCATAAAAAGCATGATTTACTATTAATTTGCCAAAGTGCTCTGATCAGCTCTTCCACAAACAGTAAGTTTGTTCTTCATTTCTGTGGAAGCCTCGACAAAGATGAGAATTAAGAAAAGACCTGCTAGTGCAGTAAGCTGAGTCTTCAACGTACCTATGGATCTTGAAGTAGCAAGAACTCCTAAGACTCTTTGTCCATTCCAATTTATGACTTTCCCACCTGAATTTTCAATTCTATCCAGCTCATCAGGTCTGTCAGGCTGCGCCCATACAGGAACTTGGTCAACAGAAAGCATTCCATTTCAAAATCAAAGACATCTACTTGGCACTATCAAATGTAGAAAATGTCTATCGAGAGAAGTTGAGTACCAAGTTAATTCATCCCTATCCTACACGCAAATTAGGGATTTTAATTTGATGGTCTTAAGCATTGATCACCCGCAGCGCTAAAGGCTACATCAACCACTGATCATATCATTACTCGTTGTCAATTTAATAATATGATGAACATCCGATAAAATATTAGACCTTTGGCGAGTTAAGATTATAGCAATAACAGCATACAAACAGTCATATCTAAGGATGTTAAATAAATAAAAGGTATACCAAAGTTGCCAGGCTCGTGGTTATATAGGACCTTATGAAAGTTATACACTACAATGAAAAAATATAAAGTAAAATAAATAATAATGATATGTCTTTGTTGGTGTTTGAGTAGGGCTAATCCTTTGACATTATTCACAGCCAAATCTTTTATAAATATTAGTAATGTGTTTGATTTTGAATTGACACAAAATTAAAAAAAATTCAGCCTTACGATTTTATACTAAAAATATTATATAAAATGTACCAAAATAATTTTTAATGTTGTGGTATTAAACATACCAGATGAAAAAGTAGAATTAAAGAGTTGAAAAAAAAGACACATCCTTTATTGAATAGACAAAAGAAGGAAAGTATAAAACTAATAAATTGAAACGAAAAGTAGTAAAACATTAAGTTGTTGGTAAAATCTGTTTGAATAGTGTGAACGACAGAAATATTTTCCTTTCGTTCTGATTCTGCAAAGCTAAATTTGTTAGGTTCACCTTGTCACGTTTAACTTCATCTGGCATAAATTTTGACTAATATTTAAAAACGTATTTTTTCATCATATTGATATGAGTTTGATATGAGTAAGGATGATGACTTATAAATTATTTTTGTTTTCCAAAAACAAAAAGAAATCTATTTTTTTAAAAAAATTTTTTTACCTCCTTTCCCGGGCACCCCGCCCCACACACACCTTCCACAATCTACCCCTAAATTTTTTTGTTTTCCAAAAATAAAAAAAAAAAAATTACCCCCACCTTCTTCCAACCGGCCCCTAATTTTTTTTTTGTTTTCCAAAAACAAAAAAAAACTGTTTTTTCAATTAAGTTTGAAAATTAATATTAAAGTATAAATTTTAGGAATCACATAGTTTTAATATGAAATTAAAATCTATTCCTATTTAGTTTGTAATTACACTAATCCCTGAAAAAGTAAAACAAATCGAATACATAATATGTAACTCGAATACATTATAAAATAAATCAGATGCATAATATATAGCTCGAATATGTTAAAAACTAGCTCGAATACATTATAAAATAATTTAAAATTAGGAGAGAAATAAGGGATTTTAGAAATAGAAAAGAATATTGAAAATAAGGGAACATAAGACACGTATATTTCAGCAATTTTATTAATATGGACTGAAATGGCTACGCTAGTGAAAATTGATTCGAACATTGCAATAACAAAAAATAATAAAAGGAAGTTAAAAAACGTATACCTTATGATCAATAGACAAAGGTACTGCAACTCCAGCACGTGAAAGCACAGCTCTTGAATCTCCACAGTTCGCAACAACAAATTCCTCCTCTCCCACCACCGCTACAACCGCCGTTGATCCTATCGTCGCCATCTCCGCCCCTTCCTTGTTCACCTTTTCGTCCATTTTACGGAAACTCTCCATCATAACATTCTCCCAATTAATACTCTTCCCATCATAATCTTCTCCTTCCGAAACTTGCTGTATCACTAAACGGTGCAAAAAGTCACGGCACGCGTGCGCTACACGTGACCCTCCATGCCCGTCGTAAACACCAAAATAATCGTACTTCCTGCTGCTGCCTTCACTGAAAAAACTCGGATAAATCGCCACCGCATCTTCCATTTCCCTTCTCCGGCCGATCAACGATATCGATCCATGTGAACAGCACGTGACCAAGCTCTCCCTTACTTTTTTCACTTCTCTAAATGTCGCTAGTTGAACTTGATCATCAGTATCAGTTACGGTACTGTTTTCCGGTTTTTTCTTCTTATAATGCCTGTAATCAGCGGCGAAGACATTGAAATTTTCCGGTAGCGCAGGCGACGATTTCAACCGACGTTCATTCAATCGCCTACGACGAGTGAAATTTGGCTCCTTCTCACTCAGATCTACTTCTGCTAGTCCGCCGGAATCCACTAACGCCGTTAACCGGCAACCTTTTTCGGCTACCGGCGGCAAACCTTTAACGCTATCAATCATTTTTATGTGAAGACGATAACTGCATTGCGAAGATTATAATGGAAGTAGTAGTAGATATTTTGCGTAATTCGGTCCAAAAGAGAGAGAAAGTAGAGAGAGTTGAATATTAAACAACTCTACGATGAATATTAACCGTTGGATAGAATAGTATGATTGATTTGTGCCACGTGACTATGATGAAGCGGCTGGTTGAGTTCCAAAGATCAAAACGCAATGATGAGTAGGACGAGGACTGAAACACGTGGGCGGTATGGATGAAGGAAGAGGAAAATACGTGGCGAAAACATGTTTCGCTAGTCAATAGGGATTCCCTAGGGGAAGAAAAATATTAGTCGTCCACCTCAAATCTCAATTTGACCATATCCGACCCAACTTTATTTTACTCTTTATTCTCCACTTATACGGGAGTAAAAGTATTCTTCAAATTTTGAGAACTATTATTCATACTTTTTAATTATTTTATAATTAACATATTATTTTTTATATAAAACCATTAATTAAATATTTTAATATACGTAATTCTTTTTAGATGTAATATAATATTTTAAAAAATATATTATTTAATATATACTATTTTCATCCCAAATTAATAATATATATTTTTTATTTTTGTCACTTTATAATTTGCTATTATTATTATTATTATTTGTCACTACGATGACTGCACATCATTAAAATGATAAGATAAAATTTTAATCTAAAAATACAATACATAACATAATAATTTTATCACAACAATTTTCGTTGCAATTTATGTGCACTTATTTGTATATTATATAATATTTATTTGTAATTATGTTATTTAAAATTTAGAATAAAATAAAATTTTAAATTAAATAAAAAATTTGAAAAAAATATTTTTTTTATATGGCATGAAAATTATATAAAGCGGTTATTTGAAAGAAAGAAAGAATGAAAGACAACCACATTATGAAATAAGAAAATAAAAATGAAATAGAAATAATAATATAGTATTGAAAAGAAAGATAAACGATTTTTTTAGAGAGTAAAATAGATAATTGAGTTGGAGTTGATTATCTGAAAAAATAGAAAACTCTATATTTGAAGAGTAAAATAAAGGGTAGGGTTGGAGATGCCCTTATGTGTTATGTTTAACTTGACAAAAAATTAATGAAAAATAAAGACTTTTATAATTTGTAATTTAAGTCAAATTTTAGATATTTTATGTGATTATAAATTATTTCTTTTCATTAAGAGATTATTTGATAGCCGATTAGAGTTTTGCATAAAGGCAAAGTAAGAATTAGAAATTTAAAAGTTCTTTAAGAAGAAAAAAATATTGCAATGCCTGCTTTTTTTTTTAAAAAAAAGTAGCTTTTGATGAAAGTGGAATTCAAATCTACAACTCTAGGGTGGAAAATGTTTCCATGAAACCTTCTTTATCAATGAGTCGTTAGTATATACATATATATTTATTTAATTTTTAATACAAATATAAAGTCTACAAAAAAAATACTAGATTCGTCCGAACCCACAAACCCTCCACCTAGCTCTACCCCTAATTATGTAGATATTCATAATGTAAAAAAATAATTATGAGTAAATTGATATAGTAGTTTATGCAAGAATTAGTTACACCTGTTTATGTACTCACTGTCTTTTGTGACAATATTATTATTTATGTACAAAAATTTAGTAATTCATTGAAATATATTAACTGAGCACCTATTATATGTAGTAATTTTCGAGCTAAAAATAATTGAACACCCATGATACAAAATTTTCGAATCCGTCACTGTATATACGTATATTAAGATGATATTTATTTTGATAACGGTGCGTGGGTAGGTGGGACCAATAGGATGTAGTGATAGGACAAGTGGCGTCTCGTAATTGCTAAGGTTTCTGGTGAAACTATCTTTCTTTCTGCCGTTTGGTGGACAAGAATATTGACTACTCTCTACCATTTAGAGGACACGTGTTTCTTGTAATGATTCTTCAAACTCACCCTCCTTAGTGCATCTCCAAACACCAAATTTTACGCTACCAAATATTATACATAATAATGGATAATACAAATAAAAGTGAAATCATTAATGAAATACAATTAAATAAACATTACATAATTGAAAAAATTATTTTAAATTCTACTTAAATATTAAACTTTCAAGATCACTACGATGCTTCCATAAATGCTCTATTAATGCATTACGTAGTTCAAAATGAGCTTCTTTGTCCTTTATTTTTTTTATATCGAGCAATAAATTATTGAAATTAATAATTTTCATCTATTGTCATTTCTACGGTCGGAGTTGGACCTTCTAACGCATCTTGAATTGGTGCATTAAGATCACGTTCATCCCCAATTATCATGTTGTGCATTATAATATATGAAGTTAATATATCATGTTGCACTTCTTTTTAAAATTACTATGTATTTTATATTTCAATTTTGATGTATGTCAATTACTACTTTGTTGAATGTTTATTATTTTCGGTTTGTTTTTAAGTACATTGTATTATTTGTTTAAAAATTTATATGTTTGCATTTTTAATTTTTCTGAAGGTTAATTGTAATTTATAATAGAATTAACATAAATTTAATTTTTTTAAAAAGTCATATATAGAAAAATTAATTTATAAAAAAGCTAAATTTTATATCTAAAATTAATATTATAAAAATATTACATAAAATATAATTAAATATACAAGAGATTTAATTAAAACATACAATTTATATAATGTTTAATTAAAAGTTTGTATAATAAAATATTATTAAAATATTCAAAAAGTGAATTGGTGTGATGAATAGTGTTACACCAAATTTGGTGTAACACTATTCACACACCAAATTTGATGTAAAAATTGGTGTGGGTTGGAGCTCAAAACACCAAATTTTACACCAAATATAGGATTTGTTGTAAAATTTGGTGCAAATCAACTCCAACCCACTGCACCAAATTTTACACCAAGAAGGAATGTTTAAACTCTACACCAAACTTTTATCTTTTACAAAAACACCATCTATAATAGTTGTTTGTGTTGTATTACATAATTTTTTACGTAAACACCAAAGTAGTGATGGAATATTCAGTGATGATATGTTTATTGATGAAAATGATGAACAATCGGTTCAGGATAACAAAGTCATGTGCTTTGTCTACTTCACTATGTATGGAATGATGCTTATTGTACTCACTCCGAACTACCATATTGCTCTAGTGTCATGGACACTACTTGTTATTTGTTGCAACGAAGATTCAATTGACTTGTAATACAAACCTATGGTTAGTTTTGATAGTTTTAAAAACTTATTGGTATAAATCATATTTCCTAAAAAAGTGAAATATGTTTTCCAAATACTATGGCCAAACACATGGTGAAATTTCACCCAAATAACATTTGCCAAAAATATTTGAAAATCTATGGCCAAACACTATCTTAGTTTTAGTTTTAATCATTAGAACATTGAATTTGAAATTTTCTTTGACAATTTTTTGTCGATGAAATGGTGGCCATAGTGGTCGTGCTTTTCAAGGGAGAGAAAAGGAGAAGGGAGAGGGAAAGAATAGTTAACCATTATTAAAATTATGAAAAATTACATAATTAGACATATTTCAATACCATATACACATTTAATTATATGTATTATGTTATCATATACAAAAACATAGAGAGAGAAGTGAGCGAGATTGGGGAGGGAGGTGAACGAGATTCGAAAGGATACTACCACTTAAACAAGAAATCTAATTTAATACTTGCGACATTTAAAAGAGATTAACGGTGGAAATTTTGATTATAATCTAGTAGAGAGATTAGGTTCAAAAAAATGGTTAAAGATGTGCATTCTGCCCGTTTAAACATTTATTTGATGTCAAATTGATATTGCGCATAATTTTAACTTATGGCGGAAAAATCCTTCCAAAATAATCTAAGTAAATAACTTACGAGATTTTCATGCATATATTATCCTCATACTTAAAAATGATATAAAAATAATATTACCAACTTTTGAGTACCAAAATTCGCCGGTTCATGCTTCACACAATATTCAAAACAAATAGTAATTTTAGTATATTACAAGACTCGGGTTTATACACCCCAAAAAGAACAAAACATATAGCCACACTAATATTACAACCCATGGTGACATGATCAAATTAGCCTTCAAAGTTTCATGTAAATGTACAACACATAGATCATGTACAAGTCCCAAGGTTTATACAAAATATAGATGCCTATATGCAAATGTGATCTTCCTTAAGGCTCTCAAAAACTCCATCTCCAATAGCCAACTTCATGCATCCTCTCGAACATTCCCTACGATAGAAACAACTATCGCTAAGCATATAACTTAGTAGTGAAAAAACTTTAGGTTTGGAGCTCTCAAATTCACCAAGCTACCTTTCTCAAGTCATAGGCAGCATGAAACATAATAAATAAATCAAGTAAACAATATATAAAGAGTATCAAGTTCGATATTTAAAGATCCAAATGTCAAGAACACTCATAGCACCATTTTCCAAGAGATTTAATAACAAGGCTCGCCAAATATATACATCATGTCGTCACACCAGGCACAAGCAGGTATCAAGAAGGGTCAAGCCCAATAATCAAAAGAACCAAGAACCATATTAAACATGGCTTTCTAGTTCGTACTTAAAATATACAACTTTCATTCTTAAGACAAACTAAAAATCCAGAGTCAAGATGACAAATGATCTGAATCAAGAGGCATGCCAATAGTGACAAAGTCACAGCCACAAGAATCAAACAATCCGTACAAGAAGGCGAGTTACACAAATGTCTTTAATGTCTTAAAGGATACCAACACGACAATGCAAAGTGACAAGAGGTAACCAAGGTACCAAGATAAACTTTCAGATATACCAGCAGGTAAAAAAGAGTACAATTATAAGTTTATACACAAACCTCAGTGCTTAGCTTAGAAACAGTCCAACACAACTTCAAGAGTTCAAACCGTAGACCAACCAACGTATCAAGGTCCTCAACTTGTTCACGAGTATATACAACCTTAAAAATAAAATTACATAACATATTTAATTCCTAGTAGCTCAATAATGTTGATGTAAAACAGGATTATCATCACAAGTAAGCTTAGCCTGTACAAATACGACTATGCTCCCAAAATAGTAATTCTGGCCAACCTAGTATCTCATGTCGCAACTTAGATTTGAAAATGAAAACGACAAAGCTGGACTGTATATCCTTCATGAAAGATGTAGGTACATCTCATAAGGTTTCAAATAATAATCAAGAATCATCGCAAAATATGTTTTGTACAAAAAGATATAATCAAAACACTAACAGTTGATCATACATGATTTCTAATTCTGAAATCTGGACAGAACTTGTCCTATGTTGCGTCCCATATTTCGAATCCATAACAGCTAAATTAGAGTTATACATAAACATAAGAGTTGTAGGTATATGGATTAGCTTTCCAAATCATATTTATTCACTGTAAACGAAGTTCTAGAGAACGAAATATGCTTAAAATACCAAACACTACCCACCTTTAAAACAGATTTCATCACTTACCAAAGGGAAGGGTGTGTCTCGAATTCAAGCCAAAAGGACCAAGTTTTTCTCTTGTGATTTTGAAGAACAATCTTTTTAGAAAGAGTTCTAAGGTTCTTAGACTTCAAGGAAACGAATTTAACTAAAGGAGGTGTGAAAATATAGTCACACAAGTGATGTTTATCACTTGTACAACTGTCCTTCAAAGGTGCTATCCAAATAAAAGTGTACGTTGCCCAAAATGCATACATATATACCTATATGTATATACCTCACCACCCTTTCAAGTTATAGATAATCCTAATTAGAATATTACGTAAATAACCCAATACAATCCTTTAAATTACGATCACAATTATGTTAAACAAGTTTGCAAATATCATAAAATTTCAAGTTCCCAAAATGAGAATAAAACATATTGTAGTAATTAAGCAATGGTGAATCGACATGCGACTCTTGGTTAGTATATAGGGGTGTTACAAGATACATGAAAGAGTGACGAGTAAGATGGGAGAGAGATGAACAAAATATATTATATATCCTAAATACATGCGAATCCACTTGGATATAATGTATCTAGAACCAAGTACACCTAAACTTGACCCATGTATCTGAGATACATTTCATTTATCTAATCGTATCTGAAGACACCAAATTTGATAAGATATATAATATAACAAACTAAAGTATATACAAGTAATTAACATTTAAATCAATAAAATTTATGTAAGTTCTCCTTAAAATTAATTAGTTAAATATTTAATTGATCCATTGATTTTATGATGGGACATGTGTGAGATAGATAAGGCTCAACTAGAGGAAATAGAGAGATTCATTACTGGAGAGGAGCCTCTTCTGTAAAATTGGACGGATTGTGATCAAACACAATTTTTAGCTTAGTTGAGCCTAACTCATTTGAACCTAAAGTAACAACTTTTAGCTTATTTGAGCCTAATTCATTTGAACCTAAAATAACAAATTTTAACTTATTTGAGCCTAGCTCATTTGAACCTAAAGTAACAATTTTTAGCTTATTTGAGCCTAACTTATTTGAACCTAAAGTAAATTTGGATGGGTCATGACCTAATTCAACTCCTTTTAATAATTTCAATTTCAACCAAATCCCTCTATTTGATACCCCTACAGAATATATAGGTTATTGTTGTTGTCAATGTATGATGTTTCAAATGGAGTAATGATGTGAACTGTGAAGAAGAATGGAATAGATGGATTTTGAAATTTAATTTGATACGAGTTTATTTAGTTTAATGGCAAATTAAACCCACCCAACCTACGTCTCTTTTTAACCCAAAACCAGTCATTGAGTATGGGAAAATGGTAAAATATACCCCTGTCTATCGGAAATGATCTATATATACCCTTCATTATATATAAACTATTTTCAATACTACAGGGTCTATTTAATCCTTTTCCGGTCCAGTCTTCCAGGTCTCTACTCACTTCACTTCCTCTACTTTTCTTCCCGGTTTTCACTTCCATTTTCCCAAGCCCAACACATTTGATTTTCAGTTAATTTAATTTTATTATTTTATTTTTAAAAGAAAATCGACTCAAAGTGAACCTTTAACTAAGCCATACACTGTATATCAGGACTCGTACTTATGGAAATGACAAAAAGTTATTCTGGATAGACATCTCATTGCTTGAACAAGGAAATACAGAAATAAAATTGCAATACAACATACCTCATTTTTTTTAGTGTCAAAATGAGTTGAACTAGCTGTTAATTTGAAAATCAAAGCTAAATCTAGAAATCATTTTTGGAGATATGATATGATGGGACAATTGTATCTTTTATATTATATATAAAAAAAAAGAAGAAGGGAAACAGTAGTAAAAGTTAACAGTTTTGTTCGTAGGAGGAGGATGCTCTATTCATCAAATTATCATTCCATGTGTTGAAATTACGTCTTTTGCACTGCCACACCACTACTGCAATCAAGATTGAGAATCCCACAACAAATTTTATCACCATAATCACACCTGCACAATTTCCCAAAAAAAAAAAAAAGACAAGAGAATATAGCCTTAAAGGATGATTTTACGTGATAAACTCAAAGTTGAATGAGCACAAATAAAATTAAATCGACAGATCTGAATAATTGAGGCTTACGAAATACTGGATTATCATTGCAGTATAAAAAGGTGCATTGATCAGAAATTGTAGAACTCTGTGCTACAGAGGTTGTTATGAATGTAACAAATAGAAAAACACTAGCAAGAATTGATCTTCTTATCGACATTTTGTTAATTGAATATACAGAGGAAAACAGAAAGATATATTTGGATCTATCTTCTTTTTTCTTGATGTGGTTTTATAGAGTGATGAAGTTTATATTTCTCTTTAGCGCGTCCAATACTTCAATTGACTTTAGACTTGACTTGTATCACTTTGGAACATTTTGTCCACAAACGTTGCTTTCAGTGGAATTATGATAGGAGTGATTTATTAGTTGTCATAGTTGAAACATTCAGCTTGTATAGTATGCAAAGGGACTACTCTTACAAGTAGAGGCGTACCTAGAGGGGCGGGTTCATTTGAATCTCCTAATTATACAATATTTTTAGCGTACATCTAGGTAAAATAAATTTCATAAATGGTCAGGTAACTACGAGTTTTTTTCCACCAAAGTAACTTAACTATGTTTTCTAAACATAAATTTGTCCTTACTAACCCATTGTCCCTCGTGGCTCTTGCTGCAGTTATACTCACAATACTATCATCTGAGGAGTACAATTTTGCAAGCCCAAAGTCAGATAGTTTGGGATTGAGATTTTAATAAAGAAAGAATGTTGTGAGGCTTAATATTAAAATGTAAGATCTGCATGTTGCAGCCTTGATATAGGTAGTATTGTCCCTTGAAAGACCTGAGACAACGAGGCCAAGGCCATCATTTCAACGCTGCAATTATCAGCCAAATCCGAAATTAACATGTCCCGTCCAATGGCAATATAGCTATGACTTTGTAAAGAATTCGAGAAAGGAGTCTTGTGTTGTGAATCACAGAAGGTACGTAGTCTCCACATAGCGCGAGGAATTTACAGGAGCTAAGCAATTGATATAGATAATGGGAACGAAAGGATCATGATATTCAACAGTTGTGATAGTACCAGAAGTTGACTTCAGATAATGATACTTAGGAGTTAAAGCTCTACCAAATATTGAGGTGATAATAGATGTGTTAAAGTAATCAGGAGGAGTCCAGGAGAAGTACAGTTCCTCGTCTGATGCTCCAAACCAGGGTCATGAGTCATGACAACTGATTTCTAGCATGTAATATCTTCTTGAATTCAAACTTATGACAGTACGATTTCTATGGCAATCAAGCTCAAACTCGGAATCTCCACAATTCAGGGGATCTGCTTTCAATCTAAAAGGGAAGTGAATGTCATGAATATCACCACAAGAATTTGAGCTTCGCCAATAGTTGTGCAGATAAAAAGAATAGAAATCCATATTTGTCTTGCCAACATCATATCTGCAATTCTTGAATCAATATTTGAACATTTAGCAAGGCAAATGTCAACTGTCTAATTATCCAAAGTTGATGTTTGATCTGGTCATAACAGCAGGATGAATGATGAAAGTCAGAAGTCAGCTCTATATAATTAATTGCCCAATGGTATGCCTTTTATGTTGTTCTATTTGCTCAGACAGGCATTAAATTCTATCAGGATAATCCTTTGCAAAGATATACACTTCAATTTAATTGAGTTTAAGGCTCAATTGAGCGAAGGAAATACCTTTCAAAAGAAAACTTTATGCCATTTCTGTGGTAGTTTAATCGTCAACCATTCATCTGTCAGAGAACCTGGGATGATCACTAAGATCTAACATGCAAACATCAGGAGCTTTAAGTTGCTTGGCTTCTGTGATGGAGGATACCATATATCCCTGCCTACTTATGAATTCTTTCTAAGTACTAAAGAAGGTCACGCCAACATGACTGTGGTTAAATTGTGCGTAGAGGGGATGCTAATAAGTTCTCTACTAGAAAATACATGTTCTCAGTGATACCGATCAGGTTCTCCTTCTATCACAGTAGTAGTACCAATGGTACTGGAAGGAGTAGAACCCTCAATGATTTATCTTGTATGAGTTATGGCAAGTTTAAATTCAGGTTATCATCTTAAAGGGCTTCTTTACCAAGAAATTGCTTCTCCTGAGAAACAGAAGATGCTCTCAATCCATAAAGACAATCAATGGTAGTTTAAACACAAAAAATTGAAGGTGTAATCATTTCCTTGTTTGATACATCTATGCTTGATAGTTACCGTTTCCAAGAATTTACAACACCAACATGCAAACTAATTTACACTTTACTAAATCATCATATTACATTCAAATTCTTACCTAAAAAACTAGGAGGAACTAGTGTCACCACCATGGGACAGAAATGACTACTTGCTCGAAGATATAGGCATCTTTTCGTTCAACTCTTTTAATCCACAGTGACATCTCAAGGGAATGTTGGCATGAGATTGAGCTCTTCTGATAGATACTGGATGCCGTGAACTAAATTAAGTGAATTTTGACTGTAGTTTTGCACAGCACAGTAAGTAGCCAACCACCTATACGTCACTGGAAATTTGTATTGTCTCAATACTATATCCAGCAATCTCATGAGGAGCTATAAAAGGTCTTGGGGGCATCTGTAGGAGTTCAACATTTCCTTCAAGCATTTCAACTACTTTGTTCATGGCAGGGCGATCAGCAGGCTTCATTTGTATGCACCACAAAGCCACAATCATCATCTTCTTGACAAGTCTCCTATCTTCCTCGCTTGCATCCTGTATCTCTATATCATTTCCTTCATTAAATTGGTCGTAAATCCATGTAGGAAAGTAGATTTGGCTTAAGTGGTCCTCAAATGGGTTCATGTTCTTCCTTCTGCCTGCCATTTCCATCAATAACATACCATAGCTATATACATCGGCTTTGTATGACACTCCTCCAATATTTTTATAAAACAGCTCTGGAGCCATGTAACCCATTGTCCCTCTAGCTGCAGTTAGACTCACAATACTATCATCTGAGGAGTACAGTTTCGCAAGCCCAAAGTCAGAAATTTTGGGATTGAAATTTTCATCAAGAAGAATGTTGTGAGGCTTAATATCAAAATGTAAGATCTGCATGTCGCAGCCCCGATGTAGGTAGTCTATGCCACAGGCCACACCAAGAGATATGTCGAACATTTGCTTGTAAGTCAAGGAAACAGTTCCTTCTTGCTGAAATATGTACTTGTCTAAGGAACCATTGAGCATGAACTCATAAACCAAAGCACGTTTTGATCCCTCCACGCAGAATCCAACGAGCTGCACAATGTTAACATGGTGAATCCTTCCAATTGTGGAAACTTCACTGATAAATTCTTGCCCACTCGCCATAGATTGGTGCATCATCTTCACTGCAACAAAAGGACCACTACGCAGCTTTCCTTTAAAGACAGATCCATAGGCTCCTTCGCCTAGTTTTTCCTTGAATTTGTTGGTCATCTTTCTAATTTCAGAGTAGGAGTATTTAATCGGCAAGAGGTTGCTCTGGACTTGCAGGAAGTCTTCAATTGATTGATACATAGATAAGTGTCGTCTTCTCCATTTATACACTATTAATGCAGTTAGGAAAACCAATCCAAAGAGAAGTCGTAACGATAGAATTGATACTGCATGATTTCAAAAATAAAAATGGAAGTCATCGACAAGAAAACCAGTACATCTTTTTCATAGGGGTAAATGGGTTTGAGTAAGGCTTCAAAAGCTAATTATTTTTCAGAATTCTGAGTGTGCGAAGAATGCTTATCCTTGAGTAAGATAAGAAGACTCACCTATAACTATTCCACCGTACAATATAGTAAGAACTGTCAAAACAGGCAAATCACAAAGGAAACATAAAGTTAGAGGATGTAAAATCATTAAAGTCTTGAAGAAATAGCTTACAGCCATATAGTGCAATGAACGCGGATTCTATAAATGGTAAACACATTGCTTTAACGATCTCCTTTCAATAAAATGCTTAGTGTAGTGAAGTTATTGCACTCCAGTATCTCAAATACGTACCGCCATAGTAGTGGATGCTACCTGCATTTGTCCAAATATAGGAATATGAGTAAAATACAGATGCTACATCTCAAAATAAGTTGCTGAGAATTGAAACTGATAAGCATAAGAAGAGGACCCAGGGGAGAGTTGAATACAAAAGAGATCCAAATTTTCTTATAACTTCAAAGGACAGACCCCATAGAGAGTGGATATAATAAATGAAAGAACCATGACACATCTTCGGCCTGCTTTAATTGACAACCTAATCTGTCGTAAATCATGACACCTTAATTTGAAACTTGAAAGTACAGTTAAATTGCTCGGATGCCAGTTACATCATTTAAGGAGATAACTCGAAAAGGTATTCCTAGTTGAACATTGTACAACAACAACATACCTAGCGTAGTCCCACAAGTGAAGTATGAGGAAAGGTAGTGTGTATGCACAGAGGCGGACCCACACTTGTAAGTGGGGGTGCCGTGCACCCATTAACTTCAAAAAATAATCATGTATATATATATATATATATCTTAAGAAACTGACAGAAACTAAAATATAATTAGAGGTGCACCCAAGAGAAGCAAATGAGTGCCTTAGTGTTGTTGGTACAAGCTAGAGGAGCCATTCGTGAGACAAGGGTTCAAATCTATTTTGAAGCCTTTTTTCACTGTTTTTATTTTAAGTAGCTCAAAAAGTAATATTAGTGCACTCGGAAAGTCTTTAAATCCTGGGTTCGGTGTATGCAGTCTTACCTCTACCTAGTGGTAAAGCTATCCCACAAGAGGGTCTGAGTTGAACACAGTGAAATGTAAAATGAATTTTGACTTACAAGGGAGGGGAAGATCAAACCCCGAGTCATCGTAGCAGCGGTGGCTGCAAGTAAAGCCGTCACCTTCAGCAAAACAGTTGCCTTGACTCGCTTCACATTCTCTGCACAAGAAGGTACGCTTCCAAGAAAGCTCAAATCCATAACTGAGGGCACCTTCAATGCTCGAAAGAGAAGTACTATCCCCCGAAAGCCCACGAGCCGAACCCCAACCCACCATTTCCACTCTGCAACTCTCAGCCAAATCAGAAATCAACATGCCCTCTCCTATGGCAACATAGCTATGACTCTTGTTCAGTGATCCACAGAAAGTAGTCTCCACATATCGCGAAGAATTTACAGTGGCCGAACAATTGACATAGATAATGGGAATAATCGAAATACCAAAGTCAAAAGTTGAGGAGTAAGGATAACTTGTGGTGAGATAATTGGGAGAAGAAGTACAGTTACTGTTTTTGTGCTCCAAACCAGGGTCAATTGCTCTGATCAAGAACTCATCATAGTTGATTTCGAGCACGTTGTATTTTCTTGAATTAAAAGTAATGACAGTACGATTGTTCTTGCAATCAAGCTGGAATCTTGAATCTCCACAATTCCCAGGATCAGATTTCAATCGAAAAGGGAAGTTGATGTTATGAATATCACCACAAGAAGAAGAACACTGAGTATTGTTTTGGGCTTCGGATACGTTTGTGGAAAATACAAGTAATACAAGAACAGAAATACAAAGCATTCTTACAAACATGTTATCTGCAAATACACTATGGAGCAACCATTTCATCAGAGGAGCAGGACTGCAATTAACAAAAGCTAATTATCCAAAATCTGGTCAGGGATTATAGAGAACCAAGGCAAAAAGTCAAAGTTCAATCACTTTTTTTTTTAGGTGGGGGGTGTGGGGGAGAGTTTGACTGGGAAGCCTGTGAGGAAATGACCATTCCTTTTTGCTATTCACACTTTATTTGGGCGATTGTTGCATATTGTTTTATGATGGATTGTATTGTACAATATTGTATTGTATTGTATTATATTGTGTTATATTATATTGTATTGTATTGTTTGAATGAATATAGTATTTGGATAGATTGTATCGTTTTATATGCTAAATAATGTCATGCATTTATAATTTGAGTGAAAAACTTAAAAGAAAAATAGGATACGAGTTAGAGTTATTATAAAAAGAGGTATGATAAAAGATAAAATATGATTATTAAATAAAAAATAAAGATAAAATGAGAAGAAAATATTAAGGTAACAATGTGATCAGACCAAATCGATTATTAAATTTGTTTACAACAAATTTTAAACATATGAAAAATAAATAAACCTCACAAATAAAATCTGAAGAAACATAACTTTATTGATAAATATGCGGATACAATTCTGTTCCTCCCTTGATTCTACTCTCCTAAGATTTACCCTTGATTCGAGGGCCGTTAGTAGCGTATTTCTCTAACTAGGATGATTTAGATTTGACCTCTATATGAATACTCCATCAATTTGCGGAATATTCGAGATCTTGATCTTTAAAATTACCCAAGAGTTTTATGGGATATTTTTAGATGTCTTTTAAGGGAATTTAATACCCTTTATATAGGCATAAACTAGGGTTTAGGGTTGAGTAGCCTCCAAGAATTCTAATTGAAACTGAACACACCTTCCAGAGTCCCAATTCGAATTGAACACGTCTTGTATAGTCCGCAAAATTTCAATGTCTACAAATGTCCCATGCTTCAAGGCTTGTCAGAGTGTAGACTCGATGAAACTCAAAGACAAGGCTTGAATTACTTATACTCATTCTTCCACCTTTGCAGCTACAGATTTTCATATTTGATTTAAGAGATAAGAGATGAAGGGCAGATTTGGTCCCACTGAGTGTGCCAATTTGTTTGCAACAAATTTTAAACATATGGAAAATAAATAAACCACACAAATAAAATCTGAAGAAACATAACTTTATTGATAAATATGCGGGTACAATTTTGTTCCTCTCTTGATTCTACTCTCCTAAGATTTATCCATGATTCGAGGGCCGTAGAGCGTATTTCTCAAACTAGGATGATTTAGATTTGACCTCTATATGAATACTCCATCAATTTGCGAAATATTCGAGATCTTGATCTTTAAAATTACCCAAGAGTTTTATAGGATATTTTGAGATGTCTTTTAAGGGAATTTAGTACCCTTTTATATAGGCATAAACTAGGGTTTATGGTTGAGTAACCTCCAAGAATTCTAATTGAAATTGAACACACCTTTCAGAGTTCCAATTCGAATTGAACACGTCTCGTATAGTCCACAAAATTTCAATGTCTACAAATGTGCCCTGCTTCAAGGCTTGTCGGAGTGTAGACTCGATGAAACTCAAAGACGAGGCTTGAAGTACGTATACTCATTCTTCCACCTTTGCAGCTTTATCCCCAAGGCATTATCATTTGATGTATTCAAATTCCGTCTTTTGCACTGCCACACCACAACTGCAATCAAAATTGGGATTCCCACAAGAAATCTCAACACCATAATTGCACCTGCAGAATTCAAACAACAAAAAAATTACATCTAGTAAGAAAAATATGCACTTTAATTTCTTGAGACAACAATTTATTGGAGCTTAATTATAGAGCCTTGCCTATTCCAATACCACCTTAGACCAATACAAAAACTGCCAAAGTTAACGACGAAATGAACAAAAAATAAAAACAAGTCAGTAAAATTTCACCTGAATAGTACTCAATTTTGCATCGGAAAGAACGTTCAGAAACGGGAGTGTCCTCTTTGCAATAATGAATACAAGTTACAACATTGTTGTTGTCTTCAAGATAGCAAGAGCCATCACTCGCTTCACACTCTCTGCCTTTTGGGGTGTGAGTTAGGTCTAACACCTAATTTAACATGGTATCAAAGCAGGGCCCGTCTCACCCGATGTTGGGTCCCCCAAAATCAAAAATTGTCCACGCACCAGAAGTTAAGCACTGGGCATGAGGTGGGGTGTTAAAGAATGACAAAAAGTCTCACATCGATGGTTAATGAGATGGGTGAACTCTTTATAAGGCTTGGGCAATCCTCCTCCCTTTGAGCTAGCTTTTGAGGTGTGAGTTAGGCCTAAGACCTAATTTAACAATAACAAACTCTACTTCCATGAAACCTCAAAGCCATAAGTCAGGGCTTGATGAGTGCTTCCTAACGAAGGCGACTTATTTGTAAAAATACCCGGAGCAGAGGACCATGCCACAGTTTCAACCTTGCAACCGTTTGCTAAATCCGAGGCTAGCCATATTTCTTTTAAGACATGATAGCTAAGATTGGCGTTGGAATTTGTTCTACAAAAAGTTGTTGCAATGTATTGTGACGAGTTGATAGGAGTTCGACAGCTCACATAGTTGATGCTATTGTTAATATGAATCAATTGGAAGATTTCGCTAGTTATGCCTCCGTAGTTTGCTCTGTAATCGGGGAAAACAGGGCAATTTTCGTTTTGATCTTTTAGGCCAGGATCAAGTAGCCTTATCATGTAGCTTGTGTAGTTAATTTCCTGCACGTAGAATTATTATTATTATTATTTCTTATCGTGTTTATTTGAAAATGTCATAATAATTTTTCTTTTCGAAAACTAATTAAATTTCTATTATAAATATATATAATATTATAATATCGAGCCTGTAAACGGGCCTTTCATTACATTGGTCCCGTATCACGGACCTTAAATTATCTAGTCTTCTTTATATAATTGGACATAAAACATTAGTTCCATGCACTTTTGTGTTTATTCATCTTATAATTTTTAGTCCGTATGTGAGTCCACCCCGAGGCAAGTGATCAGGCCCTTTACGAAAAACTAACTAAGAACAAGGAAGAAGAAACTACACAACAGAAAGTACAGCACACAAGAAGTTTACGCGGAAATCCTCTTGCTCAAGAAAGAAAAAAAACCACGACCTACCTTGAAGGGTTCCACCAACAACTTCACTAACAACACAACCCAGGTATCAAATTACTAGCTCTTACAACCCATGAATTAAATTATTAATTTCTATCCCCTTGTAATAACTCTATTACAAGACAAACGAGCAATAACTCTATTGCCCCATACTATAACAACTAAATCTAGCTTATATAAACTTCAAAAATACACATGGCTAACTAAATCTGCTATCACACTGCCCTGCTACTCTATAGTATGGCGCAAACACAATACACTTTGACAACTGGGTTGTTGACTTTAAACCTAGCTCTTGAATTTATTTCTTGTGCATAAAATTTTTGAAATTTAATACAGGATTTTGTTGTTCGCGATTAAGGTATACTTGAACGTACAACAGAGAACTATTGCTTTTGATCCAAAAACGAAATAATTTCTTGTCCAATAATCGACAGAATGCACAAATATCCACTCATCCACTTACAAGAACTAGGTTAATCAAAAAGATTTTTAAAAAAATACTTAAGATATACAATCAATGAATCAAATAGATAATAATGGAATCTCTAGATACTATACAGGACTAAACTGGATTAGATTGACCTTGTCCTAGAGACTAGAGTTCTGAACAAAATACACAATAGCTTGGATTGTACATATGGATACTAACAAATGGAGTACTTATGATTGATAAAGCTTAGAATTATCAAAGAATTCTAACAATTCTGTTCACTGGAAGAAGCTTTATTCCCCAACACATCATGGTTCGATGTGTTCAAATTCCGCCTTTTACACTGCCACACCACAACTGCAATCAAGATTGCGATTCCCACAAGCATGAGTGCAACAATTGCTATACCGCCATACACAAATACAAAAACTGCCAAAGAAGAACATAAAAACAAGTTAGTAAAATTTTATGACATGAGTATAACTTATAATGTCAATGTATATAAGTTAAAACTCTTACCAGAATAGTACTCGACTTTGCATCCGAAAGTACGTTCAGAAACAGGAGTGTCCTCTTTACAATAATGAATACAAGTTGCTACATCACTATTGTCTTCGAAAACACATTCGTCATCTCTCCCACACTCTCTGCATAAGAAATCACGCCTCCAAGAGAGCTCAAATCCGTAACCCAGGGCCTGATGAATGCTGGATAACGAAGACGATATGTTAGGTGAAATCCCCGGAGCTGATGACCATGCCACAGTTTCAACTCTGCAACCGCCTGCTAAATCTGAAGCTTGCAATATTTCACCTACGACAAAATAGCTAAAACTAGAATTGGTAGCAGTTGTATTTGTGCTACAAAAACTTGTAGGAATGTATCGTGACGAGTTGATTGGACCACGACAGTTGACATAGTTGATATCGTTGTCAACACTAAGCCATCCGAAGATTAGGCTAGTCATGGCATCGTAACTTGCCCTGTGTTCTGGGAAAACAGAGCAATTTTCGGTCTGATTTTTTAGGCTGGGATCAAGTAGCCTAATTGAGAAGTTCGTATAGTTAATTTCCTGTACGTAGAATTTTCGCGACTTGTAATGGAAAATGGTTTCATTGTTCTGGCAATCGAGTTCATATCCGGCCTTACCACAATGCTTGGGATCAGACCTCAATCGGAAGGGGAATTTTATATCGCGAATATCGCCACAGGAAGAAGGGACACATTGAGACGTACTATTCTGGGCTATAGAGCTTGTTATGAATGTAACAAATAGAAAAACAGTAGCAAAAAATGAATTTGTTATGGACATTTTGTCAATTGAATATACTGAGGAAAATAGAACTAATGATATTCTTTTTTTCTTGATGTGTGGTTTATATATAAGGAATAAAAATGACTTTTCTTGCAGCGTGTGCAATTAAATGTTAGGATTATTGATTTGTTAAATTGAAGTTGAATATGTTAAGAAATGTATTGCCCAGTCTATTTCTTTCAGTAACATGACAGAGTGGAATTATGACATTTTCAAGATAAAAATTGGGGGAAATGATTTTTTAGTTGCCATGTTTGAAAGTCAAAAGATATTTATTGAAAGATTCAAGAGAGAATTACTAAAATGGTTCTTTATATCTGAAGGTAGGTTTATAATAGTTCTTTTAAGTACGCACTAAGCAATTTAGGTCTTTTAAGTTTATTAACGAGTTACTTTTTCTCTTTTAATTTATATGATATAGTTTGATTGGATACGAAATTTAAGAAAGAAAAATTGACTTTTAAAATTTATGGTCTTAAATAAGTCATAAGAAGTTTGTGTGGTAATAAAAATTAACACTTTAAAATTAAATTATTACTAAATATAGAAATGTATCAAAGTTTTTGGCATTGATTGAAAATGAAAGTATGTCATATAAATCGAGTCAATGAGGTAAGCTTTTAGTCTCCTTCAAATATTTTTTGTAATATTTGTTATTTCTAAAGTTTGGTGTAACTTTTTGAGGTGTAATTTCTGCAACTTTTTACTTTCTCCGTTTAAAAAAGAATGACCTTATTTCTTTTTTAGTCTGTTTCAAAAAGAATGACCTATTTCTTTTTTTGGTAACATTTTAATTTCAGTTTTTCATGTGACATGTTTAAGGCCACAAGATTAAAGGACAATTTTGTACATTTGACATAACTTTAATTTAGGACCACAAAATTCAAAAGTCTTCTTTACTTTTATAAACTCCGTGCTAAGTCAAACCAGACCACTCTTTTTAAAACGGAGGGATGCAACATTTTGTATTTTATATTTTAGGAATTGACGTGATTTTGTTGGTATTTATTATTAAATTCTTTTTCAAATGTTGTCCATCAAATCTAACAAACATAAACCATTAATACTTGATGAGCGCTAAAATACTACGTACTAACTTTTTGCAAATTTGAAGGCCCAAAACTATATTATCCATACTTAAAAGTCTATTTTGAATCTATCCTCAAACATAAGGGACAAATTTTGTCATATTTTTCTCTTCAATTCAAATTAGCTCAGCAACTTGTTATAATATGTTTTAGCGTGTTGACCTTTAAACACACAACTAGTTTTTGTCCCAAAGGAACCATTCTTTTATGACTTTCCTAATTGGCAACCATTGTTAGAGAAATGTCTCATACACTGATCCACTTGTTTCTTCATCTAATTTTCTTAACTGTAACTCTAGGACAACAAGTAACACCCCATGATCAATGTTTACCAACAAGATGTGGCGATTTCGGTCCGGTAATTCGATTCCCTTTTCGTCTCCAAAATCATCAGCCAAGTCACTGCGGATACCCTGGTTTCGAACTATCTTGTACTTCAAGAAATGTTACTCGATTCAACCTCCAATTTCCAATACAAGCAACTATCAACAAAGTCGACATTTCAATATCAGCTAACGTTTCTGTTCAGGAAATTAATTACAAGTCACAGACAATAACATTATCAGACCTCAATGCTTCGTGTCTTCCCAGACGCATTGCGAACATAAACTCCTCTGCTTCCATTTTCACTTTTGATCCGTACGCGTATGGTGGATTCACTTTATTCAATTGTTCCTCAAAGCAAACGTATTCATCGTCTTCTATTCGGATCAATTGCCTTAGCAATCCTCACTATGATGTCCTTGCTTTTCGATCTTACAATAGTATTTCTGAGTATCCGTCATCTTGTACAATGATGTACAACATTTCAGATGTTCCAAACGAGGTACTTTTCGGGAAGCAAGAATATAGTTATACACGAATTTATTTGCATTGGTCTGAACCATTTTGTGGGAATTGTGAAGAGGATGAGAAGTACTGCAAGTTGAAATCCAATAGTTCAAGTAGTGAAACTGAATGTGTTGACATTCCAGAAGAACCCAGCAAAGGTACTTCTTTGAAATTGATTTTCCCCTTTTCAGTCTCTTAATAATTTTTTATTTACCTTTCAAACTGTTGTCTGAATAAGAATCAGCAACTTAACCTAGAAATAAGGAATAGGTCAAAACCCTCTAAACTATTGGATGTTCCTGTTACTTCCCTGGATTATAACCAGAGGCGGGTTCAAGATTTAAACTCTATAGGTTCAATTTTAAGATTATTAACATTGAACTCATTATATTTTTAAAGTCATGGATAACTTTAATGCTATATATGCCTCTGAATCTATAACTCCTTTTAGATCAAAAACCTTTCGACTGAATATGTGGCAAAATGTTTGGGATAACTTGCTAAGAAACGCGTGGGGGGTGAAAAAAAGTCACCTAGAACAATGAGTTCATTAGGTATGAAACTCGCAAATAGGTGATAGTTTGGGTAGTAGGAGGGGTTAACCTATTCACTCACTTTTATCATGTGTATTGTCACTTGAAACTCTTTGGTGGAGCTTTCGGAGCAAAGGTACATCTTTGAAATTGATTTTCCCCTTTTCAGTCTCTAATAATTTTTTATTTACCTTTCAAACTATTGTCTGAAAAAGAATCAGAACCTTAATATAGAAGTAAGGAATAGGTCAAAACCCTCTAAACTATTGTTGTTTTGCGAGTTTCATATCTAAACTATTTTGTTACCTCTCTGGACTATAACTCCCTTTAGATTAAAAACCCTCTGACTGAATGTGTTTGGAGAACTTGCTAGGAAGCGCGTGAGAGATGAAAAAAGTCCTAAAAATGAGAACAAGAACAATGAGTTCATGGTAACTTAGGTCTGAAACTCGCAAATAGGTGATAGTTTTAATGTGTGTGTGGGGGGGAGGGGGGCACTTTTGGAGCGTGATGCTCACATAACATGTCATATTCGGACGGGGTATTTTAATATGAGTTCATGATAGTTCAGAGGATTTTTGTGAACTCACTAACCGATGATAGTTTAGGAGGTTTTTTACCTATACACTAAACCATAAGTTAATTTTACAGGGCCATCAAAGAAAGCTATTGTCTCAAGAGATCAAGTTTGTTAGTATGTTTTTTTTTGTTGCTAAATAATAAATATTATTACAAGCTAACAATATTATCATTTTCATTTTATAGGGCTGTCAAAGAAAGTTACTGTTGCAATTGTATTAGGTAGCATGTTTGCCTTTGTGTTAGTCTCTCTAGCAGTCTACAAGATTGTCAAATTGAAAATGAAGAAAGAGGATCAGAAAAGAATTGAAAGGTTTTTGGAGGATTATAAAGCTCTGAGGCCTACAAGATACAGTTATGCAGATATTAAAAAGATCACAGAGCAATTCAAGTATAAACTTGGTCAAGGAGGCTATGGGAAAGTATACAAAGGGAAGTTATCAAATGAAATTCTCGTGGCGGTTAAGGTACTAAACAATTTCAAGGGTGAAGGGGAAGACTTCATCAATGAAGTAGGCAGCATAGGTAGAATTCATCATGTGAACGTTGTGCGTTTAGTTGGATATTGTGCTGATGGTTATAGACGAGCTCTTGTGTACGAATATTTATCAAACGATACACTTCAAAAGATCATATCATCACGGAATGGAAGAGGGTCATCATCACTAGGTTGGGAGAAGATGTTACAAATATCTGTAGGAATCGCCAAGGGACTCGAGTATCTCCATCAAGGTTGCAATCAACGAATTGTTCATTTCGATATCAAACCTCATAATATCTTGTTAGACCAAGATTTCAATCCAAAAGTTGCTGATTTTGGGCTGGCAAAGTTGTGTGCCAAGGAGCAAAGTGCTGTGTCAATGACTGCAGCTCGAGGCACTATTGGCTATATCGCCCCTGAAGTGTTCTCCAGGAACTACGGAGATGTGTCATATAGAGCAGATATTTATAGTTTTGGCATGTTGTTGCTTGATATGATTGGTGGAAGGAACAAATTTGACGATGCTGCAAAGGCGGAGAACAGTAGTAGTCAGATTTACTATCCGGAGTGGATGTACAAACAACTCGAGAAAGGTGAAGAAATAGCAATCCAAATTGAGAATGAAGATGAGAACAGCATAATCAAGAAACTAGCAATCGTAGGACTTTGGTGCATTCAATGGTTTCCAGCGGATAGGCCATCCATGAAAGTTGTGATTCAAATGCTAGTAGGAGAAGGCATTCCCATAATGCCACCAAATCCATTCGGCTCAATGAATTCGACAGACATGAAGACTAGTGCAGAGAGAAGCCAATTTAGCAGTGAGATTGAAAGTAGTTTTGAAACTGGTGCAAGTTCAAATTGAGTAGATGTGATGCATTGTATATTTTTCAAGTTAATTGATACTATACGATCTAGTATGTCCTTGATGTATATATGTATCAATTTGGTTGTTATACATTGTACTCAATAAAACTTTGAATAAAGCTAATTTCTCAAAATAGAGAATTTACTTTACAATACAGCAAATGAGACTTGTAAGTTGCAATATGACCATTTGGCATGTAAAAAAGGATGCTTGTATTATTAGCTTGTACACCAAAAACCATTAAAAAGGAAAGGCCAAGAACTTTTCTGTCTAATTTTCACAAGAACATTGAGCATGAGTTCCATTTATTCTCAAAGATTAAAGCCGACAACAAGCAGTGAGCACCTCATTATGCATACATATACCACAATAACTGGAAGTCGAGGCTAACTTCAATTCACTAAACTAAGGTTCATCTCGTGTAGTCTAGATTACAAGATGAAGTATAAAACTCAAATCACAAATGAGATTTGATTATGTCTTTTTTTTTCTCAAAATTAAACCAGCGTATCAATTATCAAAACATATAACAATATCGGGTAAATTTATGACACTTTGATTTCAGCGTTACGGTATTTGGTATGGTTTTTAAAACTTAGTATTCAATACGTATTTATATTTTACTTCATTACATATATAATCTACGATATATTATTATACAGATAATTAATATAAAGTAAGAAAATGTCCAAAATCCTTCTGACTAAAAACTTCTCGTCTTTCCGGCTAAATACTCTATAAAACTAAAAACTTAATTTATACATATATAGTCATGTACAGTACAAATTAATTACTCAAACATATGTATCGTACTTTCCCTTGATCATTTCAAGCATGAGAGATTTCATTCTCAAGTCATATTTCTCCATTATATGTAAGTTGAAATCGAATAAACCATAATTACAGTACTACACAAATCAAAACTGAACCATATCCACCTAATTCAATATGGTAATGATATACCATTTCAAATTATCGAATCGAAATTTTCAAAATCATATTATACAGTGCCATGAACACACATAGGGGAATTGCGGCAAACTGGACAAGAAGCATTTAATCGAAGCCATTCGTCTATGCAGTCTGCATGGAAACAGTGTAGGCATTCAGGAATGGTCCTTAAAGTCTCTTTGGGCTGATATTCAGCCAAGCAAATTGAGCAGACATTATCATCAGGCTTGGGCAAACGTCTGCTCTCTCCCAATATAGTTTTGGGATATGATTCTATTGTGGGCCCATCTAAGCCCGTAAATACGATAGGTTGTGGTGCAACGGCAGAACTGAATTCTAGTACTGGTTGGGCTCTTCTCCTGCAAGACCTTATCCTTCCACTTATGAAACATAGAAGCCCAATCAAGAATAACATTGCTGGTACCCCAGCTCCCACAATTATAGCGTAACGCGCGCCTCTAGGAAATGCTGCAAACAATTTCAAATCATTTTTTTTTTTACAGTTAGTGAGTTGGTATATCTTAAAATACACCAGCAACTATCAAAGATTATGGTGAAATGACAAGTACTGTTTTTTATTTTTAATTAGATGTTTCGTAGTTTGAGCTTTGAATATGGAGTCACCTTTTATTAGATACCAGACACTCTTTGGAAAACCAAAAAAACTACTATTTGTGAATATGGATAGAAGTCTAGTTATAAAGAAGGTAGTATAAGGGGAAAAAAAATGATTACTTACAATAGATTTAACTTGGCATAGTGATGATGATGTATTGTCAATGCATTTTAACCTGTTATAATAAGTAATTTGTCCACACAAACAAATGATACCATTTTAATAGTAATAGCTACTCATGGCACAGTCTCCTAAGTTATGACCTAAATTCTCTCTTTTGATAAGCCAAAAACTCTTGACATAAGGAGATTTGATCCAATATGTTCAATTCAATTCCCGTGCTATTTAAGTTATTGCAACTCTAATATAACAACATATCAACAATATACTTAGTGAAATTTTACAAGTGAGGTTTAAGATAATAAAGTGTAAACAGACCTTAATACTACCTCATGAAGATAGAAAGGTTATTTTCCAATATCTTTCTATAAAAATGACTATAGTATGAATAATGGGGGGTTTACTTTGATTTCACACTTCTATTTTTTTTTTTTGTTCAACATATTTCCTTCGTCACTTTACCTATTAAAATAATGCAAGAAAGAGAAAAGTAAGGCAACATTTCACGCATGGCCTTATAACGTAGAAGAAAGGGCGTATGTGGGGACTATTGACTCAGTTTTAATGCTCCAATTCCAAAGTCAAACTTAGAATATTTGAGTGCAAAGGGAAAAAAATAAATAAAGAGCGTCCCATAAAACTATTGAGTAACATAGATAAAGTGCAGGGAAACATAAAGATACAAAACCACAAAAATAAAATGCCACTAAAATAATGAAAATGGCTTTAAAAGTCAGATGAAGTTATCATTTCTTGCATCTTCTTCTCTTTACTTGTCTTTTATGGTTTTTGATTTAGTAGTCATTATCAAATTGGTCCATTATTTCAATTTCAAATTTGAAGTATACAATATGAAAGTTCATTTCATGTCCAAATACAATAGGATATGAACCTCAGCATAGAGTGAAGATGTGAACAACTCTCCAACTGAGCTACATTCAACATAATGTTGAAACACAATAATCTCAACCAACTCATATCAAAATGTTCTACAAGACATTTTCTCACATTATGGTGTGCATATTCAGATTTTAGAAACAGGATATTAACTAATTAATTATTTAACTAAGTACTTTCTAATATTATTATATATGGTTTGCTACTTCCGTGTTTATTGGACTATCAACCATATGAAATGAACAAAGTCTTCAAGAGGGGAATTGGCTATGTTGACTTAAACATGTGAAAAGAAGTACGAATTGCAAACTTCGAGATTATTGAATTAACCAAAGGATAGGAGACTTCAAATACTGAAGTCTAGGCCTAAAACCTTATTAAATGACATGAAATATTAAATTTTTGTCCTATGAAATGATCATTTGAAACTTTTATTTGGTCAATGCAAGAAGGAGAGAAGAGAGACTTTTTCTTCTCAACAATAGAACAAGGAAAGCCCTCAAATTTTGTATAAGAAGTGCCATGCTATACGAGAAAAAAATGTAGAAAGAAGAAGAGAAATTTCAATTGAATGGAAACCTTAATTTTACGTATGATCATTGAACTTCATCAATTATAGTGTGAAGTCACAAAATTATTTTTGTCTTAGTAAAATAACTCAAATTAACTATAACAATAAAATTAGCGAAACTATTTTTAGTTGCAAAAAATAACATTAAAATTTAAAACTAATAAAAGTATATAGAAAGAAAAAAAAAAAAAAAAAAAACTATTGAGTGTAATCTCATATGGTGACACATCTATGGATGGCTCAACTATGCTTTAATATCAACTATAATTAGAAAGCATCCTAATTTTGCGACCAACAAGCCTTTTAACTTGCCTATGAAAAGCTCTAAATATTCACAAACCAATTTAGAGTTTAAGGAGCTCTTTATTGGATTTGAATATACTCCCTCAGCTTACTTTTACTTGTTCATTATATTTATTACTTTTCGCGCATGAAGAGAAAAAGACGTACTATTATTTTCCTGGTTTATTCACCAAAATCATTTCTCAAAACTTAAAAGTAAATATCAATTAATATTGTGGAAAGTTTCAAAAATCTGGACAAGTAAAAGTGCACAAGGAGAAGGGATGTTCTGATTTATATTTTGATTAGGAAAACGGCAATCAGAGGGAAGTTGATTGATATGATAACGAAAGAAGATTGATGTTTAGAGATCTTACCAATTCCACGACTATTTTCACAAATGATTTCTCGATTAAACGTTGTCCTCTTCAAACTACATCTTCCACCACTTGACTCACAGATTCTACAATCTGGATTATTCCATGTGACCAGAATAGCATCACTAAGATCGGAGGACACCACCTGTTCGAAGAAAGGCCACTGTACAGGAACCGGTAAAGTTCCAATCGATTTACACTCCGATCTCGACAACAAGTTAAATCCCCTCATAGAAGATGTAGCATAAACAGTATAATTCAAACCACTCAAACAAGCTATTGGATTTAGCTTAAGCGTCGTATAATCAAAGGAGCAATTGAACAATGTGAAATCCTGATAATAAACTCCCAAAAAAGGGGAAGCAGAGAGATTTAAGTTCAGGAGAAGCTGAGGAAGGCAATCATTAGGATCGTTAAGCCATAATTCCTGTGTAGAATAATTTATGGCTTCCACTGTGAATTCTCCTGGCGAACCTGGTAATCGAATAATTGTTCTATTTAATGCATCGCAGAATAAGTTGAATCCTGGATAGCCACAATCTGGAGATTGGTAATTACGGAGACGAAAAGGGAATCGGATTAATGGTTTATCTTTGCTACATGCAGATGTGAAGCAAGCTGTGCTTGTTGTGCTAATTAAATAGCACAAGAGAAGAAACAGAGCAATTGTTTTCTCCAATTCCATTGAAAAATAGAGTTTTGGTTTGTAAAATGATATTACTTTACTACTACTATAGTATTGTTAAAAAGAGTATTATTGTTGTTAATTGGTATGAATCATGATAAAAGGACGTCAATATCACAAGTCAATGTTATTAGAGTTGATTTTTTAATATATTTTTTTTGTTTGGTCAAAAAGAGAGAGTAGTAATTTATTATTACAACAATTTACTTTGAACTTTATCAGGGTTATGAGAGAGTTATTAATAGTGTTGTTTTGTTTGTAATATGGTTTATAGTAAGGCAGAAAGAGAATTGAATTCCTACTCTTTACCTAATTATAATTATTAGTACTATGTATCCAATAAAGTAAAATAAAGAATAGTAGGTAACTAACGAGTGGCGGTAAAAGCATATGTGTATTTTCATTGAACTTTTATATCAAGTGGATTAAAATAAATTGGATTACTGAAAGTAAAATAAGGACGCTAAAGTTAAATAGCTTTGGAAAAGAAAAGTATGTTATTGTTTTGTTTTATTTTAATAAACTAAAAAAAGTATCGCATCATGGGACAAAGGAGCAGTAATTTTGTTTTATGTCCCACTAAATTACTTCTCATAACAAACAATTTACGGATGAAAGGCCATAGCACAATCAAGTGCACAGCGCAACTAAAGAATGTTATGTAGTGGATGAGGTTACTTCTCCCTTAATCAGAGATTTCAGATTCGAGCCATGGATATGAAAAGATCTTTGATATGGAGCACTTCCCTCCGAATGAGGCCCTATACGGCATGAATATCTCATTAGTCGGGCTTCAATACCTACGATCCTATCCATTATAGTATAAAGTTCAATACGAAATTACACGACATGGACTGCAAAAGGATGACTTCAATCCCTATTAATCATAGAAAGTTGTACATTCTAACGGGCAAACTATAAGGTGAATTAAAACCGTTAATTATTATGATATACCGAAAGGCTTAAAAGTCAAAACTTCAAATTTGAAATATACAAACTGATTAAACCAAAACTGAACTTAAAAAATCCAATTCAATCCAAACTTATTTGGGATTGTAATTTTTTTTCAATCTGAAAATCGAAAATCAAGATTGAAATTTTCATATTCAATCCGAACCTCCAGCCCTACTTCATGTATAAGGGAAAACAAGAAAGCTCGTATAGCACTCAAAATTGGCCAGTGGAAAAAACACAAAACAAAAATGAATGAATGAGAAAATTATGGTGGTGGGGAAAGGAGAAAGATCATAAATATCAAGAAAATGATCACCATTTTACCAATTCCAAGTTAGAAATAGATAATAATACTACATTAACTCTTGACTTTGTAGACATAGAGTTGGTCAATGCCTTAGTAAAATGGTTTAATTGAATGTTCCATCACACAAAATGATTCAAGTCACCATCAAAGACTTCAATATCTCCCAAATACCAGAAAACTTCAAATAATCTAATCCTCTAAAAGCCGCTATCATTTAGAGACAGTAATTCGTAATTAACAAGACCATTTTACCTATATTATATCACGCGTTGTACAATCATGTAACAGCTGCTCTTATTCAATGTTCATTGCACTATTCAAGCATCAGAAGAAAAAAAAGAACTTCGAAAAATAATATCACTATTTGACTAGCACCTACATTATTAGTATTTGTCTCCTACATATCGGATAGGCAACGCATTACCTGTAAGACGACAGGTTGAATCAAAAGCTGAAAAGAAGATTAGAAATCAGAGCAGCGACCACCACGCTCCCAATCACCATAGCGGGTGGGCTCAGGACCTTTAGGGCCTCCAATCTCACCAGTCTTTTTGTTAACATTAGAAGTATCCTCTTCATCACTGTCGTCCTCAACTTCAAGATTCCCTTCATTTTTGTTATCAACCTTCTCCTTCTCATCCAAAGTACGAGCATCATGCTCTCCAGGATGATCCTGTTTGATTTGCCCTCCTTGAGTTGAAGAACAAATGAGTCGACTAGCTGAGTTCTTTGAAAAACCAACTTTGGATACTGGAAGCTCAATCAACGATTTCAAGAGATGACCCATATTTCTTGCCATTTCCTATTTGCTTCACCCAGTCTTGACCAGACTCGCTAGCGAGACAGAAAACCTTCAGAAACAGTAAAAAATAGTGCCTGATCAGATTGCAGTTAACAGGTGAACTTGCTCCTTACAAGTGCAATTCCATATTTTCTCCTTGACTATCACCAAAAAGCATTTTGAAAATTGTTGCCAGCTTAAAATGTCACAAGCGTAAGCTTTGACATTCAAAGTCACAATTCAATAGAGATTCATACCACAATGAAAAAAAAAACAAATGAATACACATTGTTTTCATCTGAAAGGAAATTGTTTTTAAGACTAATATCATGCAGAGAAGACGCTTCATTGATACCATTAATTTTAAGACAAATATCATAAGATGATAAATTTCTGTCCTCACATTTGAAATTTTGAGAGAGTTTATAGTGAAAAAGACTTTCAAGTATAAGTTCCTCATGAGAACACAACAATCAACAAGAAGATGCAACATTTAGTTGGTCAATAAATGATTCTTATCATTGTTCTTGCTTCCATAACTTTCTCAGCTCTGAGGAAGGAAGTGAAAATGATGAGATAAATAGCAACAAGAGAAAAAGGCAATCATGACAAACTTGTAGAAAAAAATAAAGAATGCATCTAAAAACTGTCATTAGACCTCGTCTGCCACCTAAATAAAACAATTCAAGTAATTTTTAAAAAGGAAAACTTTGTTGGGAAAGCACATAGAGAAATAACGACTGCAAATTCAGGAACCCTAACAAGACCGTGATTTCATGGAACAACTTAGAGAAACAGAAGCAAAGAAGTGAATTGAAAATAGACAGGGAGAGCACAGTGGAAAGTGATACTGAGAATAGATACAGAGGCTTGAAAAATTTCCTCTCTCTCTTAAGTGTGCTATAAAGACTGTTAATTGGAGGAGATTTGCGATTGGAGAAAAAACCTGAAAAAACTAGAACGTTAATAGAGGACAAGTAGCACAAAATTAGCAAATAGTTAAAAACTGTATATACTTATGGCAAAGATTTCATTTCCTTTTATTAAAACAAAGTGATAAGAGAAGTTTATTGAAGGGAACACATGTATTGTATCTAATACTCACATAGAGAAGGTGCAATTCAAAACCACATGTCAGACTCTTCCATCATCCCCTAAATCATAAAAGGCATTTCTGTTCACATTGCCATAATGGCCAACTGCGTGCCATAATGTTGGTTATGTGGAGATAACAAGCTCAAAGAGAGATGGAGAGGCTATTTTGGTCAATTGTTCAACTCAAGCCACAAGAATATACAATTTGGATCTAAATACATCTGTGCACGATAGAAACTTTAGCTATACTGGTAGAATTAAGCCTAAAAAAAATATTTAAAAAAAGGCAGTCTGGCGCACAGAGCATCCTGCATTAGCAGAGTCCGGGTAAGAGTCAAACCCCAAGAGGTGTTATGTGGACAGCCTAACCTAATACAAGCATTAGTGGCTGCCTATATAAAAAGAAGATTAGAAAAGTATGTGGTCCAAATGGTAAATGCATTAAGATTTGGGAGTGTCTTCGGAGAAGCAAAGTTTACCAAGCTATTTAATGTTTTATTTAAGGTGGTAGGATGCATGACGAATAGGAGTACCCTAATTTCAATTTATAAGAACAAAAAAGATAATTTTTTTATGACAATTGTGTTTGGGCCAGCTTTCATGCACCATGACTAATTCCACAAAATACTTGTCCCCTCCTACCAAACAACATGTACTAGATAACTTTTTTCACCAAGGTTAGGACAGATGGGAGGAAATCACCTAGTGCTTTTTTATCTTTGTTGGGATTTGAATATGAGACCTCATGGTTCTAAACCAACTTCATTGACCACTGGGCCACACCCTTGGATACAAAGAGATATTCCAAGTTGTGAAAACAATCATGGAATTGAATTTATTAAGTCGTTCAATGAAACTCGGGGAAAAGGCGATAGGGTGTAGACTTAGGGACACTGCAAGAGTGACTAAGAATCAGTTTGGATTTACACCCAATATATCTCCAACAAAAGTTATATTCTTACTAAGAAGATTGATGAAAATTCATAGCAAGAGGAGAATAGATGTACACATGGTGTTAATCGATCTTGAAAAAACATATGACAGTGTACCAAAATAGCTTTTTTGGTGTGTTTTGGAGAAAAAAGAAATTCATGTTATGTCAGAACGGACATGTAAGAAGGAGCCGTCACTAGCGTGAGAGTGGTAGTAGGAGATACAAAGGAGTTCCCCATAACCATGGATTTATACTAAGTTCAGCAACTGACCCGTAATTGTTTACCCTAGTAATCAATTCAGAGTGAAGATGGGATTATTTTACATGGTCGGTAAGGATTCACATAGCCAACCTCGATTTTGTTTAGGATTAAGGTATAGTTGTTGTTGTAAGTCCTTAAAATAGTACATCCTAGGTGTATAGCGTCTAGGCTCTAAATAACAGGGCATGGGAGCTAACTGATGGATCTGAAACAAAAACTTAAGAAAGATTGTTGGTTAGGCACCATCAGTTGGCACCTAAGCACTATCAGAAGTACATGAATTCACAGAGGTGCTACCAGAAAGAATGTGTTCTCACGGACCCTGGAGTCTGGACCTTAGGTGCTACAACTAGCAACTTGACTCCATCATTTAGAGTCTGCATGTCATCCTAGCACAACTATTTTTTCCCTTGAAAAATTATGTCTTCAAAAGTCACAAGATAGCCATGAGAAAAAAAGAAAAAGATAGATTATGAGGCTATAAAGTTGGACCTAGGTTCTTTTCTTTTTTTTCATCCTTGGTTAGATAATATTCTCCCCACAAAGACGTTTATTTGTTTAACCACTCTCAGTAAAATCATATTCATATAACTGTGGATTGTCTAAGTAGTGGTCAATAATGTTGCTATTCCAACACCAAACAATATCGCATGAATGAACATTATTGACTGTCTCAATAAATCCTCCACACTGGTTACCGATCTCCTTGAACATTTCCTGAGACTACAAATTCATGGGTAGACCTAATATTCTGATCCATACCCAGTATCTTCTTATTTCTGCAGGCCAACACGATCTCATGCATGTGACATAGTTATACCAACTCATGCAATATAATTTGGCATTAGAATAGCAAATATGTTTTTTTCCTTAGAACGAATACAACACAAGATCAATACTTTATGAAACATCTATCCTAAGATTGATAAAATATTGAATTTAACCAAAATCACAAAGGGAAGTAAATAAATAAATGATAAACAAGTAGGCTTGAAGAAAGTACAACCCAATTTTGCTACTTCTTGTTGTATCATTCGAAGATAATGTCATCACTCAATAGATAGATCCAATTTCACGAACTATTGACTCATCACTTCAATTGTACTGTGGCCATATAAAGTATCTCTCTAAAATTGATGGAAAATGCGAAGGTGGTAATAAAACCAAGATTCGATGTCAAAAACTCACAACTACTGGGCACAAAAACTTACTATTAAGACCACCATTTGACGCAAGATTCTCCCAATCAAGACACTTTTCGACAATGAAATGTAAAATATTTACATGGGATGAATTATTGTATCAACAACAAAGAACATAAAGACACAAGACCAACCAGTCATACAGGAGGTATTTATCTACCTAAAATCACAAAAAAAATGTAATTTTGAAACTACCATATAAAAGAATAATTAGGGGGAACACAGGAATAAGAAGAAGCAATCTCCTTGTTTTGCAACCAATTTGCCACAACCCAAATTACCAAGTTCAAAAAAAGATTCAAGCTCAGTTGTAAGAGATGAAGTAAAAACTAGGGGTTTAGGAGGGGATCTGTGAAAAAAGCTTCGAAATATACCTATTGGGCGATTGATTCAATTTTGAATCTGCTGCGCCTTCGATCTTACTTCTTTTTTCAGTTCTTCCCTAAAAAGATTGGCATATATATATATATATGGTGGAAACAAATGGGTCAGCTAAATGAAACTATATACGGAAATGGGTAAAAAAAATTCTTTAATCATGTAAAATTGAACAAAAATATCTGTCGTTTTTAATTTGGCCAAACATATCTTTGTTGTTAATATCTAAAAATGCATCGTTAATACTTTGGTCAAAATTTCCCCAGCTGTTAAGAGCATTTTGAACCATTTTCCACTAAAAAAAAGAGAAAAAAGTAGCACCTAGTATATTTAAGTTGGACTCCAAGAGCTTTGTGTGTTGAATCGACTTCTAAATATGATTTCGTTTACATTTTTTATTTGTGAAAATTAAATCTAAAGCTTGGAGACTTCAATTGGTACAACTAGATTAAATAGCAATTAATAAACAAATAAAAAAATTGGCACATATTAGCCTAAAAATAATATATCAATATTTTTTTTATTTTTTTTAATAATAAAAGATATTTAACATCATTTGTCTTCTAACTTCCAACCATTACTATTTAAAACTAGCAAAATATTATTTAGAATTATCTCTTCTTTCAAATTATTACGTGTTTTTTAAAATAATAAAAGAAAATTAATTTCATCTCTCTTCTAACTTCCAACCATTTCTTCTTAAAACTAGCAAAAATTATTCAAAACTCTCTCCTTTCAAATTATTTCGTATTTTTAAAAATAATAAAAGAAAATTAATGTCATCTCTGTTCTATCTTCCAACCATTTTCACTTAAAACTAGAAAAATACTGTCTAGAATTATATTTTTTCTTAAAATTAGAAAATAATATTTTGATTATGATTATTCTTATTTCAAAGGTATTCCTATGAATTCATTACCTGCCAATTATTTTGCCTTTGAACTCAATCCATATTCATTTAACAAATTTGTATACATTTGTTTGCATTGGTATTCATTAATCTGTATTCATCTAATAGATTGACATACATTTGTATTGGATACATTTGTTCATATTCATAATAAATTGGTATACATTTATATTTATTTGCATTAATATCTTTCAAATTTTACATATGTATACATTTGTATTGGATACATTCGTCCATATTCATTTATAAATTGGTGTACATTTGTTTGCATTAATATCTTTCTAATTTACATTTGTAATGGATACATTTTGTTCTTATTCATAATAAATTGGTACACATTTATTTGCATTAATATCTTTCAAATTTACATTGGTATACATTTGTATTTGATACATTCGTTCATATTCATTTATAAATTGGTATACATTTGTTTGCATTAGTATCTTTCTAATTTTACATAGGTATACAGTTGTTTGCATTACTATTTTGGAATGCAATCAACGAAATTCATTAACAAATTA